AAATTACAACATAGTAAGGTATTTATTTATTTATTTATTTATTTATTTATATAAGGCACAGCTACAGAGAACAAACAATAACAATACAATTAATAATATTAATAAATAGGTATAGATACCTACTTTTAAATTATAATAAAGGCTCACGTATTAGTGACAGATTATGTTCGCGTGCGCACGGCCTTAAGCCGGCAGTAAGGTTTCCGCGCGGTAGGGCTTCGCCACCCGACACCTACGGTTTTTGCCTCGGCCATCCGTCCTGGGTTGACACGGAATACCGTTTCGTTTAATACTTACATAAACTTTTTTTATTTATTGTCTTCGAAATTAAAACCTTTTTTCATCTGTTCTAGTAACCTATACGCGTAAGTAATCATAGATCCAGCGTATTAGATTTCAACTGTCTAAAAACTTTAGAAAGCTTTCGTTCACTATGAAAACTTGCTCTAACTTTTGAATATTTCATCTTGTTACTTTTTTTATTTTCGAAACATTGCTTTGTTGCCTTCGTACCTTTGTTAAAATCAATCATCGTGTAATTGATACTCAGAATTTTCATTATTTTCTTTAAATTTTTAAATTGCGATCATTATATGGCTTCATGCATCATAACGTTACCTATTAGGGTTCTTTACCTTACCATAGTAATTTATTATTACTACAATATTTGCAACCAGAATTACTTTATTGGTAAAGATGTTCCAACCAGTTTCAAGCACTTAAATCAAACACAGCTGATTTGTGTAATCTCATGTCTCGGACTTACTATAGGTAGGTACTGGGACATCATTGGACTACTGAACTATTCAAATACTGAAACAATCATTTAACAGAACTAATTCCAAAATAGTAGTAAGTAAATACACGCATTTTATTTATTTATTTATTTATTTATTTAGGAAAACCAGGGTTTTACAGTGTGTAATAATAACTTTACAGTGCATCGTGATTGTATCGCGTGTGTGTAAGGGTAGATGTTTTGCGACTGTATCGATGCTGCATTACAACCGTATTGCTGTAAAAAGTCGCAATCTAAAAGCGCTCTAAGAGCACTTTCACATTAGAGCGTTAGTAGCGCGTGCTTCCGCTGTCACATAGTATGAAATCAGCAGCGCGTCTGTCGCGCGTTTGTCGCGCTGCTAAATAGCCTAAATGTGAATCGCTCTAAGACGGAGCTAATTGGTCGGACCGCGGTCAAGTCAGTAGCGTTGTCGTTGTAAATTAAGGTAGATGGTAGTTCCTTCGGCAGCTCAGCTGAAGAAGATAAGGAGAATGAAGCCCAAAGCAGCTGCTGGCCACTGCACAAGATTAGTACTGCTTATACTCTTGTGCGTGTGACAGCGGCTATTGCGGGCGGTTCATTGTCGCCGTGAGAACACCGCAAGAAGAAGCTTTTTATCAAGATTTTGTTTTGCTTTGTATTGTATTGATGTGTACTTTTAGATATTTAGAAGAAAAGAAGAACGTGAGAAGAGGACTGCACCGTCCGCATCAAGGTACCTATTTCTCGACGTCTTCACTCAGAAGATATGAGGTGAGGATGTAGTTAATTTTAAAATTGGTAAAATAATACAAGACTACTTTTCAAGAGGATGTTTGGTTTTATACTTACTGCTTTTTATATTCTGAATTGTATACTGCATTCTGAATTTTCAGTGCAAAGCTTGTTGTTATGTATTAAATTTGATGTGAAAGCTCTATACTGAATTAACTGAAGATTATTCTTCTTCTTTGAAAACATAATTGGAATTGATGAAATTCGATTAAATTATCACTTTTATTAAACCGTTAAGACACTGTAATGTACTTACATACTACCTTCTTATCTATATCCAGAACACGATCTGTCCTGCATAGGGAAGCTAATAAAAATCTATTCAGCCATTCATGTTATTGAAAATTTGTCAAAGATAAAAATCTAAGTGCTCCTAACCATTTTAACTGCGATTCTTTATATCCTGTAAAATAAAAAATATTTTTTTAGTATTTCCTGAAAATAATTAATTTATCAAGACGTTTTTTACTGCTATGTTTGTATCTGTCACAGTTATCTAATAAGATAGGTTATTTCGGTACAGAATTTATCAATACTTTGGATGCTCAGCTCACTGATAAAAGCTGTCCAGTTGTCATGAATTTCTTCTCTAAAGCTACGAGTATGCAAGATTTTTATAGGGGATTTTTTTTATTGTAATAATATTTATTAGTTTAGAGTTATCTAGACTTGAACGAATAGACTTAGGGACATGTAATAAATATTGGACCTAATTTAGATTAATTTCGATTTCAAACATTTTTGTGGATGGAGTGTTATGTTAAATTGATGTGTATATCCGTTTATTATATCATATTACTTTCTTGTTATTCTGTAGGTACTTTTATTTGTTTTTCAATGTGTTCTTATAACATTTTTCATGTGATTTGTGTGTGTATTTTCATGTTAAATTGTTACGCGTGCGTCTGTAGGTATAATCTTTTATTGTAAATTGTAATTTCACTTTTTGTAATAACATTATTGTATTATTGTATGTTTCAAAATGCAAAAGATTATGGTAAATGAGTGACTCTAGCCACTTTCCATCACGTGGATTGTTTACTTATTTCCATTTGGACATTGCAAGAATCATGTCTCGTGTATGTTTTCCTTTGTGTGTTTTCTGTGTCATTAAAATAGAGAAATATCACTCGAGTTAAATTCAACGAATTTAGAAAAAGTCTAAAGATACCATCCTCATTCTTCTCTTGAGAGTTCTCTAATTCTCTGTTTGAATGATACACAACTTTCTCTGCTATTTCTGTTTTGTTTGATTTTTATTTTCTTTTTAGTAATGCCATTTCATTTCAGGTGTCGTCGTACGAAGAAAGAAGCCGGGCGCATTACGAAGCCCAAAACAACTATTGGTCACTGCACAGGACTAGTAACTTATTATACTCTTGTGCGTGTTCCAATAGTTATTGTGGGTGCTTCATAAACTACATCAGTATGAAGAATAGAAGAATGCGCCGTCGTCCCTTGCCTGTCACCCTGACACCCTGTATCTATTGAACTTTCGTGGGTAAGAGATAGTAGTAAAGATCTGCGTACTATTGCATTTTACTACAAGTGAATAAATTTACTAGGTATGTAGTTATTTATTTAACTACCTACCTACTTGTAAAGCGCAGTCCACGCTAAAAGCTACTTAACTTTAAGCTCTAACGCGAGAATTTATACAACATTTTAATAAAACTGTTAAAGTAGGTTAAATAATAAATCAATTATTAAAATCATAGATTTACAAACAGCTTGTATTTTATTAATATGTGCCTATTTATTTAGCTAAATGTTTGCCTCCTGTCACCTAAAAAAGAAACGACAATTTGTAAATAAAATAAACAACTTTTTCCTAAATTGTAATATTACTACTAATTATTTGTTGTAATTAACTTATTTTGTGTGGATTAATATTTTATTCAAAATACAGTAACAAACTTTGATAATGTGATTCTTCTCAAGCATCTAAACTTTAGATTAGTTAAAATGATTTTAATGTTGCTATTTTATTAATTATTCGATGACAAATCAAAGGCTGACTGATTAATAGGGTACTAATGTAACCCAAGTATTATAATGCATAAGGTAGACCATGTTCTGGATTAATAAGGGCTAAAATTTTAAGTAAACCGATAGTTACGTAGCATCCTTAGCTGTAACAGTGGCTAAAGCAATACCTAGTAGTTTTTCTACCTCTGTGGCTGACATTTCATCAGATGAGAAGCAAGCCAAAAGCTTTCCCGCTGTCATTAAAGCGAACTGAATAAGGTAGAGCGGTTTCGCACTACGTCCCATCCGAATCCGTGAAAATACAGCCACGAGTAGTCGTAGAACTAATATTTTATGGTAGTTTACGCACTAAGATCGTTTCTTTAGTAATTCTACGGATTCAGATTCGTATTCTTACAGATTCTGTCGGAAGTGTTTAGAACCGCTCTTATAATGCCATCTATCCGCTTAAATCAACACGCGCTGTGAGGGCAACCAGAAGAGGTGCTGGTTCCAGAACTAAGCGCCCTCTGTCCATTTTTTCCGGGACTAACAGTTCCAAGATTTTATCTCCTATGTTCGAAGTTCGAACTTCGAACCACGAGTTAGATAAGAGCAGATTCTGCAGACAGGTCAGTACCTCTAGCATGAACAATTTTCGTCTTCGAATCGTTTGCGTATTCGACAAAATTCGATACTCAACCTTCAAATTAAACGATAACGTGACAATTTTGATACTCGAAATAAGTTTCGTGCAACCATTTCTTATACGTACTTATTATTATTCTGTGCTGATACACTTTACGACACGTACACAAGGGCGCTGTTGTAGTTTTCGTACTAAATCTTTTGATGGCGATTCGAATACGCAAATAAATTGCTGAAATTAACTTCTTATAAAATGTATCTATGTTAAATGAGCAGTAGATCTAGGTATCCAGGGTCCGCTCACTAACGGTCGCTCACTAGGTATAGCTTTTTGGTTCTTGAGTGTTTGTATCAATTACTACAAGCAATGGTTCCAAAATATTATGTTTCGTATCAGTAACAGAATCGACGTAGAACACAAGAGCTGTAAAAACTTTTTTAGTTAAAATTCATTAGTAAAAACAACGCTTTAACATTTAGAATTGAAAAACCTTGTATGGATGATATTGTAAGAAAAACAACAACAGAATATTGAAAGTGTATATTCCAATTCAAAGTACATCTTATATTCAATAATATTTCGATCAGTCTTAAGTACCTATCACTAGGTACAGTACATAGCAACAAAAATGTAACTAACAAAAACAAATGTAACAGCTTGGGTTAACAATAAAAATGTACTTGCTTGTATGTCACTTACATAAGGTTATTATAAGTAATAAGATTTATACATAAACCTGTTTATGTAAAATAGATTTAAATTGGAAAAATGCAAATTTTTAGCAGTTAAGACATTAATCTTTTGGTCCAGTCTATTTATTATGACTAAAAAACTTTGTAAAACTCCGGCTGGCTGAGCTTTAGGGACAAATTGTTTTGAAATTAAATAATAAAAAAAATGAAATTACCCGCCTTATTTTACAGATATTATTATTAGCCTAGTTTCTAACTAATAACATAATGAACCAATGATAACAGTGAATGAGATGTGATTATACCACGTCTCGCTTTACGTCATTTTTGAATTCCCCCAGGTCAGCCATTTTGGATTTTTTATAGTGTTACGATAGATAATATTATAACAGTCCATGCCAAAAGATTTTAGCAATAACTTATGCAATTAGGTCACATTATCTTCAAGATTTGCTATATTTATACGTAAAATGTTATTATGGACCTTATTTGCTTTATTTGCAAAATTATTTTGGCAAAAACTGTAAATATGATGTGAATATGAGAACTATTTTTCGTGTAGACAAATTGGTTTATTGACATTTAAAATACTGTAAGGAAAATATATGTAAATATTGAAATTTTCACCGTCAATATTATGTAAAATAATAAAATAACATATTTGTCTGCTTTTTGTTTCTTTTTTTGTGTTTGAACAATAGAATAGCTTCGCAAAAGAAAATTAGATTGTAAAATAGGAACTTAAATATGTTTGTGGTTTTTTTCTTTTTTTTAATCAATTTACCACTTAGTTTTATTTTTTTTAAATAGATTAAAACCATTTTTCTTCCAACAAAACCAACACCTTTTAGAAATTTATACATATTCGTTAGGTTTGGATCTTTAGACTAACATTCTTTACAATAAAGAATAAGCATTTAATGAACACAATCGAAAAAACTAAAATACTTTCACAAAAACCGTTCAACACTCATTCATAGTTTGCCAATACACCACACTATGCTACATTTAAATCTTTTGCATATATTTTAAACATACATTGAGCATTTCTTTAACTGCCTACTAAATAACGTTTAATTGAATTGCCTCAAAGGCATAAAGATTTTCTTTTATTTTTTCAAATTAGTTAAATTGTAATTAGGAAAAGTAAAATAATTCTGAGTGTAAAAGTTTTACGTCTTTTGAATCGTAGAGCTACGATAGAAAGATAATAATAGATATGAAATAAAAAATGTCCACTCCACATCTTCAACGTTTTAAAGAATTCCAACATTAAAAAAATCATTTGGGATGTCATATAAAGAAAAATAATAAAGAAAAAACATTATTTTTCTACAATCTTCATCTCCTGCCATTTCAATGGCTCTCTTTCTCTCTCTTATATGCATAACATTTTACTTTTTGATTATTCATTAATAAACATACCACACCTTGAGTTTTAATGCACCGTATTAATACTAATTCAGTTCAGAAGAAAAGATCAGTTTTTAAAAACTTGAATGCCTAGTTTTTTTCGGTAGCTAACATAATACAAAATATTCATACTGATCTTGATACTTGTTTTGCAAATTAATTTCATACAAACTTTAATCAACTCACAAACTTATCAACAAAAGCTTAAGACCAATCGACTATTTCGAACAATTAAAGTGAGGAATGTTATATATTTTGTGTGAGTTTATTCATATGAATAATATGTATATTTAAAATAACTTTAGGCTGAGTCCGCACCATAGTTTTTTCCCGTAAGCGGTAAACCGCCAAACCGCAAGATCGCCTGAAAAGTATACACTGTAAAAAGCTTGCATTAGTTTTACTTGGTTATAAAATCACGCGGTTAAAAACCGCGGCGGTTTAGCCGTAGTGCGGACTCGGCCTTATACGATAAACAATTGAAACGCTTGTATATCACATACGTCATATATTTGAAATGTGGATTTTATACTACATCCACATTCTGGATTATACGATTATTGTATTATTATAGGCTATTATTAAATTGCCTTTTACCATAGAATACTTATTTTATTTGTAGCCTCAATGACAACTATCAGAATTGGCTAGAAGTATTTGTAGAAAGATATAAATGTATTCAAAACTATTAGTTAATTCTATTGCAGCCTAGAAATTAAGTATTTTCACAAATACTACTAATCAATTAACAAAATGGTTAAATTATAGACTAGTCACAACAAATATTTGGATTCGGGGTTTTAATTGTTCTGTAATATAGATAACGCTACTATCTTAATAAAATATCCCGTCTTAACTTTAATACGGTCAGCGCAACAAATATTGAATAGTTAAATTACGAAAATGCAATTTAGAATATTATGAAATAATGGCGCAAGTACACTACATTGGAAATTGACCGAGACGTAATAGTGTAAACACCATCTCGGTTACTTTCTCTTTCCCCCACCCGTGTGTCGTCCATACTTCGGTGTGCGGGTTCGCGCTTCGTCTCAGTCAATTTTCGCAGTGTACCTGCGCCATAAAACGATTATTCCATAATCATTTCATAACTTCAACTCACCTAAGAAATATTTCCAGATCACAATATAACATGATTCTGTGACTCCTAGGGCTCGTTCCCAAGGCAATCTAGTAATGCAGGAACCAGCAAAACTGGACTGTCGTGTATACATAATATGAGTGTTTGAAATTCTAAGACCAAATACGAACGGATCGGTTTGCAGGACACTGTAAACGGGACGTTCTTGTAAACGTTAAATACGTATACTACTTAACAGGATCCTAAAAAACGGAATATCTCTGTGGGAACAAGCCATTACAAACCCATAGAATCAATGATAAATCACTACTAACTTGCAGTATAGTTCTGACGTGGATACATTCGATGGGTTAAAGTATCCAGTTTATACCGGTTTGGCCTGCTTTTCGTCCTTAGTGGGGTCCCCGTACAGCATGATACACATGGTCGCGTGGAGACAGGCCTTTGGAGGCAGAAACTTGTCGTCGAATGTCAGGGCGTAACGGAACATCCAGATTGCTTGATCGAATTCCGACTGAAAAAGAGAGAAAGTAAAATAAATTAATACTTTTTCATGAAAACTTTAACGGTCCTAAAAAGTCTTCTTCAACTCATAATATAATTTATAGTGTACCTATTGATTTTGCGAAAATGTGGGCGTAAAATAATACAAGGCGTAAATAATACAATTTGTTTCTCGTTTAGATTCCTATGACATATACATTAAATAAGCTTACCAGGTACGAATGTCCAACTGCCACCAGGAACGCGTCAATCTTGTTCTTTGGGGTCATGTAGAATGACAGGTACGACACATCCTTCGCGTCTTCTTGCCGATTTTGCCTGGGGACAAAACACTATTTGAGACTTTTGATACAAAAATTAAGATGTCTAATTACGGTTATTTTTGAAATACGTCACAATACTAAAGTTTTCTTTTATATTTACAGGTGCAGTACCAACGGCACACGATTTTTAATGTATCTCTGGCGAAACACCGCACGCAGCAGGCAAATCGCTTAGCCACAAGGGTAAAGTGAGCACACAACGTCATCCACTGCGGGTTGAAGTAGCTGAGGCCGAGCCACAAGCTATGATAGTGTCTTAGGCAGCAGCAGATTCTTTTACGCCTGGTGTAATATATTCGCGGTCTACTCAGTGCGCGCACAGCCTGGCGCGGTTTCATACACCTTTAGGGAATCCACATTAAGGATCACGAAACTCCTGCGCAGCTAGGATCTACACATTTTTCTTTGCAAGCGCTCACCTAGTGTAAATATTCGCGAGCCTACGCGTCTCTAGTAAGCGCGTGCGCAACCTGGTGACACCACACCATCTTATTAAAACCACAGTTAAGGATCACGCAAATACTGCGAATCCAGGATTTATAGCTTGACACTTTCTTACAGGTGGAGACATTTGAAGATCATAATCAGTGTAACAGCTCACAGATGCAGTATGTTAGCGAGTCCCCTGAGTCATATTAATTATTCTCTTCTCAGCGCGTGCGCACCAGTTAAGGACATTGCAACTTCCACGTAGCCGGGATTTACCGCTTGAGACACTTTCCTATCCACCGCCCGCCCGCGCCGCACCACCAGCCCGCCGCTAGCAGACCGACCAAGGGGGATGGGACGCTAGTAGTTGGGCTACTACACAAACAGCTTAGCCACAAGAGTACAGTGAGTCACCTACTGAGAGTTGAAGTAGCCGAGTCCGAGCCACAAGCTATGATAGTGTCTTAGGTAGCAGCAGATTCTTCGCACGCAGCAGCTTCTAGATACGGGTGGACGGAAACCTAGGCACCAATGGCAGTGCTTTATGAGTCTAAGGGCGTGAGCAAGCGCTGCAGTGGCGCCACTGTAGCGCGCTTGTCGCGCCACTACTACTTAGTTTTCATTCAAATAGAAGCGCAACGCACGTCGCGCGTTTGTCTTGGTAGTGGCGCTGCGATTGTGGCGCCTCTATAGCGCTTCCTCACACCTCCTCGCGCCTTAAAACAGTAGTCGCTTCTAGTACCTAGTATTCTGGTATCTTATGATGTCTCCTAAGCGCGTGCGCAGCAGTTGAGGACATTGCAATTTCCACGAAGCCAAGATCTACAGCTTGAGACACTTTCCTATAGGTGGAGAGAGACACATAAGGGTCATAATCAACTCACAGGTGCATATTGGCTGATGTTTTCTTCGCGTGCGCAGCAGTTCAGGATCACGCAACTCCTGCGCAGCTAGGATCTACAGCTTGAGACACTTTTCTATGGGTGGAGACACTTGAAGATCAGAATCAGTATCAACTCACAGGTGCAGTATGTTGGCGAGCCCCCGCAACGCGTGCGCGACCTGGTGCGGCGACGAAGCGGCGCACGCAGTAGTCGGTATAGAAACGACATGTAGGCGAGTATGGCTGTCTCCAAAGCACACTCAGGACCCTATTCTCTCTCTCTCTCACTCACTCACAAGTGCAGTATGTTGGCGAGCCCCCGCAGCGCGTGCGCAACCTTGTGACACCACACAACCTTATAGAAGATCACGAAACTCCTGCGCAGCTAGGATCTACAGCTTGACACTTTCCTACAGGTGGAGACATTTGAAGATCATAATCAGTGTGGTAACTCACAGGTGCAGTATGTTAGCGAGTCCCCTGAGTCATATTAATTATTCTCTTCTCAGCGCGTGCGCACCAGTTAAGGACATTGCAACTTCCACGTAGCCGGGATTTACCGCTTGAGACACTTTCCTATCCACCGCCCGCCCGCGCGTGTCTTATTATCTCTCCTCAGCGTGTGCGCACCAGTTGAGGACATTGCAACTTCCACGAAGCCAAGATCTACAGTTTGAGACGCTTTCCTATGGGTGGAGACATTTAAAGATTGTATCAACTCACAGATGCAGTATGTTGGCGAGCCCCCGCAGCGCGTGCGCGGCCTGGTACGGCGGCGAAGCGGCGCACGCAGTAGTCGGTATAGAAACGACATGTAGGCGAGTATGGCTGTCTCCAAACCACACCCAGGATCCTATTAAAGACTAGCAATTGAGGTGTTGTTTCACTCACAGGTGCAGTATGTTGGCGAGCCCCCGCAGCGCGCGCGCGGCCTGGTGCGGCGGCGCGTGCAGGTGCGCGGCGGCGAAGCAGCGCACGCAGCAGGCGCCGCGCCCGCCCGCGCCGCACCACCAGCCCGCCGCCAGCAGACCGACCGCCAAGGGAGGTGGGTAGCTAGTAGTTGAGCTACTAGAGGCTACCACGCAAACGCCAGAGTACAGTGAGTCACCCATTGAGGGTTGAAGTAGCAGAGACCCAGCATCAAACTATGAGTGTCTTAGTCAGCAGCAGATTTTTCGCACACTCGAACGCCAAGCATCTAATAAGCTTCTAGATACTGGTGGACGGAAACCTAGGCTCCAGTGGCAGTGCTTTTTCAGTTTAAGGGCGTGAGCAAGCGCCGCAGTGGTGCGACTGTGGCGCGCTTGTCACGCCACTACTGTTTTCATTAAATAAGAAGCGTAACACACGTCACGTTTGTCATAATAGTGGCGCCCCTGTCGCAGCGCTGTTGCAGCGCTTCTTCAAGTCTTTGAAGGCGCCTTTAAACTGTGGATGCTTCTAGTACCTAGTATTCTGGTATCATATGATGTTTTATCTGCGCGTGCTCAGCTTGGTGCGGTTAAATGCAACTCCTGCGCAGCCAGAATCTACAGCTGACACTTGAGGCTCTGGCTGGCTCTGATGACTTGAGCTCGTAATTAGTGTAGGTAACTCACAGATGCAGTATGTAAGCGTGTCTCCTGAGTCATAATTAGCTCTTCGCTGCGCGTGCGCAGCAGTTAAGGACATTGCAACTTCCACGTAGCCAGGATCAACCGTTTGAGACACTTTCCTATGGGTGGAAACACTTTCCTATGGGTAGAAACACTTGAAGATCAGAATCTGTATCAACTCACAGGTGCAGTATGTTGGCGAGCCCCCGCAGCGCGCGCGCGGCCTGGTGCGGCGGCGCGTGCAGGTGCGCGGCGGCGAAGCAGCGCACGCAGCAGGCGCCGCGCCCGCCCGCGCCGCACCACCAGCCCGCCGCCAGCAGACCGACCGCCGAGGGAGGTGGGACGCTAGTAGTTGGGCTACTAGTGCCTTTCATACTAACAGCCTAGCCATAAGAGAACAGTGACCCATTGAGAGTAGCTGAGTCCGAGCCACAAGCTATGATAGTGTCTTAGGTAGCAGCAGATTCTTCGCACACTCTAACGTCAAACATCTAATAAGTTTCTAGATACTGGTGGACGAAACCTAGGCACCAGTGGCAGTGCTTTTTGAGTCTAAGGGCGTGAGCAAGCGCTGCAGTGGCGCCACTGTAGCGCGCTTGTCGCGCCACTATAGAGCGCTTGTCGCGCCACTATTACTTAGTTTTCATTCAAATAGAAGCGCAACGCACGTCGCGCGTTTGTCATATTAGTGGCGCTGCGAAAGTGGCGCTAATCTTCCTCATGTGTTTAATTTGAAGGCACTAAATGGTAGTTCCTGGTATTTTGGTGTCATATGACGTCTTCTTCGCGTGCTAAGGACATTGCAACTTCCAAGTAGCCAGGATCTACAGCTTCAGACACTTTGCTAAGGGTGGAGACACATAAGGGTCATAATCAACTCACAGGTGCATATTGGCTGATGTTTTCTTCGCGTGCGCAGCAGTTCAGGATCACGCAACTCCTGCGCAGCTAAGATCTATAGCTTGAGACACTTTCCTATGGGTGGAGACACTTAAAGATTGTATCAACTCACAGGACATGTAGGCGAGTATGGCTGTCTCCAAAGCACACTCAGGACCCTATTCTTTCTCTCTCTCTCTCACTCACAGGTGCAGTATGTTGGCGAGCCCCCGCAGCGCGCGCGCGGCCTGGTGCGGCGGCGCGTGCAGGTGCGCGGCGGCGAAGCAGCGCACGCAGCAGGCGCCGCGCCCGCCCGCGCCGCACCACCAGCCCGCCGCCAGCAGACCGACCGCCGAGGGAGATGGGACGCTAGTAGTTGGGCTACTAGTGGCTTTCATACTAACAGCCTGGCCACAAGAGTACAGTGAGTCACCCACTGAGGGTTGAAGTAGCTGAGTCCGAGCCACAAGCTATGATAGTGTCTTAGGTAGCAGAAGATTCTTCGCACGATAAGCTTCTAGATACTGGTGGACGAAAACCGAGTAACAACGAGAGGTGTGAGTAAGCGCTGCAATGGCACCACTGTAGCGCGCATGTCGCGCCACCATTAGTTTTCATTGAATAAGAAGCGCAACGCACGTCACGTATGTATGTCATAATAGTGGCGCCCCTGTCCTGTCGCAGCGCTGTTGCAGCGCTTCCTCACGTCTCTAATTTGAAGGCGCCTTTAAATAGTAGTCTCTTCTAGTACCTAGTATTCTGGTATCATATGATGTTTTATCTGCGGGTGCTCCTGCGCAGCCAGAATCTACAGCTGACACTTGAGGATCGTAATTAGTGTAGGTAACTCACAGATACAGTATGTAAGCGTGTCCCCTTAGTCATTTATCTTTTCTCAGCGCGTGCGCACCAGTTAAGGACACTGCACAACTCCCACATAGCCAGGATCTACCGCTTGAGACACTTTCCTATGGGTGAAAACACTTTCCTATGGGTAGAAGAAACACTTGAAGATCAGAATCTGTATCAACTCACAGATGCAGTATGTTGGCGAGCCCCCGCAGCGCGCGCGCGGCCTGGTGCGGCGGCGCGTGCAGGTGCGCGGCGGCGAAGCAGCGCACGCAGCAGGCGCCGCGCCCGCCCGCGCCGCACCACCAGCCCGCCGCCAGCAGACCGACCGCCGAGGGAGATGGGACGCTAGTAGTTGGGCTACTAGTGGCTTTCATACTAACAGCCTAGCCATAAGAGTAAATCCTTCACAGAGGGTTGAAGTAGCCGAGTCCGAGTCACAAGCTATGATAGTGTCTTAGGTAGCAGCAGATTCTTCGCACGCTCGAGCGCCAAGTATATAATAAGCTTCTAGATACTGGTGGACGAAAACCTAGACACCAATGGCAGTGCTTTATGAGTCTAAAAGCGTGAGCAAGCGCTGCAGTGGCGCCACTGTAGCGCGCTTGTCGCGCCTCCTCTAGTTTTCATTCAATTTCTAAAAGCGCAACACACGTCACATTTGTCATGGTAGTGGCGCAGCGATTGTGGCGCCTCTATAGCGCCTCTTCACATATCCTCGCGCCTTTAAACAGTAGTCGCTTCTAGTACCTAGTATTCTGGTATCTTATGATGTCTCCTCAGCGCGTGCGCACCAGGGACATTGCAACTTCCACGAAGCCAAGATCTACAGCTTGAGACACTTTCCTATGGGTGGAGAGAGACACATAAGGGTCATAATCAACTCACAGGTGCATATTGGCTGATGTTTTCTTCGCGTGCGCAGCAGTTCAGGATCACACTACTCCTGCGCAGCTAGGATCTACAGCTTGAGACACTTTCCTATAGGTGGAGACACTTGAGGGTCATAATCAGTATCAACTCACAGGTGCAGTATGTTGGCGAGCCCCCGCAGCGCGTGCGCGGCCTGGTGCGGCGGCGAAGCGGCGCACGCAGTAGTCAGTATAGAAACGGCATGTCGGCGAGTATAGCTGTCTCCAAAGCACACTCAGGACCCTATTCTCTCTCTCTCTCTCACTCACAGATGCAGTATGTTGGCGAGCCCCCGCAGCGCGTGCGCGGCCTGGTACGGCGGCGAAGCGGCGCACGCAGTAGTCGGTATAGAAACGACATGTAGGCGAGTATGGCTGTCTCCAAACCACACCCAGGATCCTATTAAAGACTAGCAATTGAGGTGTTGTTTCACTCACAGGTGCAGTATGTTGGCGAGCCCCCGCAGCGCGCGCGCGGCCTGGTGCGGCGGCGCGTGCAGGTGCGCGGCGGCGAAGCAGCGCACGCAGCAGGCGCCGCGCCCGCCCGCGCCGCACCACCAGCCCGCCGCCAGCAGACCGACCCACCAGCGGGGCTTCTGCGGGGCGTAGGAGAAACGGTGATGACACAAGGTACAAATCTAAATATACAGGGTGGAAACGATAAATGATCTCACTCGATTATTTCTAAACTATACAAGATATCAATAAACTAGTTACTGATCCTGAAAGTGCTTCATGAGCTCTATCAAACGGTATTAATAATAGGTTACAGAATAAACTGGATCTATTCGAAAATTCAATGTTTCCAGCTTCCATACATTTGGTAAAGTTACATTATTTTAAAAACTACACATGATATCGTAAAACTGATTACTCATTCTAAAAGTGCTTCACAAGCTCTATCCAATGGTATCAATAATAGGTTACAAAATAAACTGGATATATCCAAAAATTCAATGTTTCCTTCTTCCATACATTTTGTACTACTACCACATTCATGACACTCATCTCTTGACAATATTATAGCAAGTTAAGCCTAAAACCAATGTTTTCCATGAATAATTTAAAATAAGAATACAATTTACGAGTTTATTTAAAGAGTTTATTAATAAATAAAAAAAATACACTTTTAATATTGTGTGTCTGGCATACATTTAGTATGGAAGCTGGAAACATTGAATTTTCAGATAGACCCAGTTTTTTCTGTAACCTATTATTGGTACCATTTAAAAGAGCTCTTGAAGCACTTTCAGGATCAGTAACCAGTTTTTCAATATGTTGCATAGTTTAGAAATAATCGAGTGAGATCACTAAACGTTTCCACCCTGTATAAAAGGAGAAACTGACTGACTAAGTGACAGATCAACGCACAGCCTAAACGGCTAAACGTAGGCACTTGAAATTTGGAAGGGACGTAGCTTAGGTACCGTAGAGGTGCACTAAGAAAGGAATTCCTGAAATTCCCACGGGAACGGGAATTAGCGGGAAAATCCTTTTGTATGAAAAATCTAAACCGCTGAAGTTAGACGCTTGAAATTTGGCATGCAGGTACCTTAGTAAACTTAAAGCTTAGTTACAACAGGATATTGCAAAATTCCCATGGGAACGGGAGTTAGCGGGAAAAAATATTTGTATGAAAAAATCTAAACCGCGTAAGACGCTTGAAATTTGGCATGCAGGCACCTTAGTAAACTTAAAGCTTAGTTACAACAGAATATTGCAAAATTCCTACTGGAACGGGAGTTAGCGGGAAAAAACATTTGTATGAAAAAATCTAAACCGCGTAAGATAGACGCTTGAAATTTGGCATGCAGGTACCTTAGTAAACTTAAAGCTTACTTACAACAGGATATTGCAAAATTCCCACGGGAACGGGAGTTAGCGGGAAAAAACATTTGTATGAAAAAATCTAAACCGCGTAAAATAGATGAAGGGGGTAAAACGGGATCTACGCGTACGAAGTCGCGGGCGGCCGCTAGTTATACATAATCATCATCATCATTTCAGCCATACGATGACCACTGCTGAACATAGGCCTCCCCCAATGATTTCCACAAAAGCCTGCATCCAGCAAATGAGGAGATCCGTAATGTCCGTAATTCGTCTGGCTGTCGCTGACATCTACTATTCGGCGAATACGAATATTCGTATTCGTATTCGTTGCTTCACTAATTTCAAATTATATGTCAATGTGTCAAACTTATTCTTCAGTTAAAAGCTATCCGACGACTGAAAAATCAGACCTAAGTTTGTCAATTTCATTGTAGGTTTTGTTCGAGAGTAGCAATTTAGTACTAACATTACTAGATTCCCATGCTTATTCTTTAGAAAACATCACTCATATCATAGAGGAAATACAAAACAGATTTGTAGAAGAACCTTTTTAGAAATGAGTACCTAATTCCAAAATCCAATATAAGGAAGTAATAAAAATCTTTTTACTTACAGATTCAACATACTTCGCGATCTTATATCCCAGCCCCCAGAACTCAGCGTGGTCAAACTCCTCAGTGAACTGGTGCATCAGACTCATCATGGGTTCCCACTTCGCCGTGTTCACCTTGCCCAAGCGTTCTAAGTAGAAGTCTTCGGAGAACTCCGGTGGGATAACACATTCTGGACCGTCTTTATCGGATGGTGGTAGCGCTAAGATTTCAGCTGGTACTCTGTAATTGTAATTAAATTATGTAACAACAGTCTTTTGTCTTATTATATTTACCCACTAGCTTTTGCCCGCGGCTTCACCCGCATGAAATTTAGTTTGTCACATATCGTCATAAATTATAGCATATGTATTTTCTGGGTTATAAACAATAATACTGTAAAGTTTCATCAAAATCCGTTCAGTACTTTTTGCGTGAAAGAGTAACAAACATCCAGACATCCAACTTTCGCATTTATAATATTAAGGATAGTAGGATACTAATTAAGAAAGTACTGGTTTATTTGTTCGTTTCAATCAAAATACATTCAGATGTATCTGTCTAGATATCTCAACAATTTTCACAGCGACTAGTCTTGCGCTGTCCGCATTCAGACTATTCCCCCAACTATGACCAGATCGTCGGTCCACCGAGTAGAGGGACTGCCTACACTACGTCTTCCGCAGTCGCCACTAGAGGACTTTACTGTCCATCATGCCGTATTTCACTACTAATGTTTTGCTAAGTTTATAACAACTTACTTCACATTAGTCTCTTCGAGTATTGTCCTAAAACTCACGATGTGCAACCAGTAGCCTAACTGTAAATACTGATAAGTACAATCTTCATCTTTCAGCGACAGATCTTCTGGTTGAATATCTGAAACAAAATTATTGAAGTTAATATAATATCACCAAAAAAAACTTAAAAAGATAGTTACGTATCTTTAAACAAATGAACTGTCGTGAAAGAGTGAAGCTGTTTGCCACAAGATATACCAACTCCTACAACGTATAGGCGAGAACAAGTCAAGATTATCAATTATGTAGGAAAATAGCATCTATTACTGCTTCATATGAAGCTATAATGTTACTTTGACATGCCTCACGTACAGACTACAGCACATCAAGCTAAATACTGTGGCATTTTACGTAGTTGTAATATGGGCGACTTTGCAACAAAAATGTATGTATGTATGTACCAGCGGCCGCCCGCGACTTCGTACGCGTGGACCTCGTTTAATTAATTACTAATGATGTTGATAGATGGCGTTTCACGGCTTCCCCCGCATGATTAACCGATTGAGTCCCAGACGGCATTAATTAATGTCATAACAATTGATTATCTATTGTGTCTAGATTCGCGGAGCTTGAAGGATTAATTTACAAACGTCAAATTTTTTGTCCAGCGCTGAAGATTTTAACCAATGACGATAGATGGCGCTTTTTACACACGTCTTATTTATTTATTGAAATTTCGTTGGTCACATATCGTCATAAATTATAGCCTATATGTTAATCTGGGTTATAAACAATAATACTGTAAAGTTTCAACAAAATCTGTTCAGTAGTTTTTGCGTGAAAGAGTAACAAACATCCAGACATCTTAACTTTCGCATATAGTCTTATGTGCCATAAACAACAATATCAACTCACCACTACACTTCCTAGGCCCGCAGCCTTTCAGCGCGGTCTCGACGCTGCGAATCATGCTGTCATAGTTCTGTCGATGCGCTGACAGATCGCTTCGCTCGAGCGGCATGTTCTCTATGAACGCGTCAAACATGCTGTCATCCATTTGATCCACGTTCGTGGGGTCCACACGCTTGTCTTCCACTTTTTCTTTCTCTTTCTGTTCCATCATGCGGGTTAGTGTGGAACTCTCTGGAAAAAATGACAGGTTTGGGAATTTAGTGACGATTTATAGCAGCGACTGTACCTAAAGCCTGGTCCGGGAGCACGTAGAATCCCGTCCAATGACCCCAAGCTGCCCATCCTTGTCGCTCGCACGTAATTATGTTGATGTCGCGACTGTGCGACGCGCACCCGCAGTGAGTGTGCGATAAGGATGGGTAGATTGGGGCCATTGGACGGCATTCTACGTGCTCACGGACCAGGCTTTATAGACAGCTCGTTAGGTACACTCAGTGGCAAAAAGTTTACAACAAAACCTTATTCCAAGTAACAAAGACGTGTTGCAAACTTTTTGGCTACTTTGGGTGTCGCGTACTTTTTGAAGCTGACTATACCTTTATCAAAGCTACCAAAAATATTTGTATTACCTCTCTCTTGACTGCTAAAACACTGTATATTGGTCATATGGCAGTTGGTTCCGTCTTTTTCGCAGACCATGTTGACGCCAGGCTCCACTTGAGTGCAAACATCACCACCTGTATAATCTATAAAGAAACAAGCGATACGTTTCTTAATATCCATAGTATTATGGAAAGAAAAAAGGGGTTTGCAGATTGAAAGTTAGTAGCAAGAATATCAGTTGACGAAGTGTAGACCTTGTTTTAAAAAGTATAGTGTTGCCGTAAATGAAAGTAATACAGTTTCATATATCTTTTTTAGCACACTCCAGAGGAAAAGCAATATCACTGAAACTTGTAATATTTTCTTACATAACCATGACTTCATAACTGTGTAATATTTATACAATTTCTGACGATAGCCGCGGGGTGAAGGTATCGACTGCCCGCTTTCCGATCATAGCCGATTGGTTAAGGTATTGGACTGATCTACTTGTGATCCTAGGAACACGGGTTCGAACCCCGCTGCCGCTAGACTATTGTGATAAGCCCACTCGTACCACAAGCATAAAACTTACCACGAGGGGTTAACGGGACTATTAACTTACCGACTTCCTGCAAAGTGTTGATCTGCATCAGTATACAGGCCCACGCGTTGAGCAGATTCCTCGCGAGCCCGCCCAGAAACTTGGGCTCCACCCGTATGACTTGCTTCAGGTGGAACATATGGGTATTCCGGTGTTTCTTGATCATGTTCAACTCTGCTAGGACGAAGTTTGTGGCCGGCTGCAAATATATAGAAGGCATAAGGCATATTTCAACAATATTGAAAAGTGAAGTGTATAAAATAAAAATAAAAACAAAACAGTAAAAACAAAAACACTTAAACTAAAACACTGTCCAACCACAGTGTACTGAAAACTTGACACTTCAGCATATCCAATATGTTGTCCCGATGTAGTAAGGTAAGGCAAGTTATATTTGCGACGTTTAAAGTGTCCAGAAACGACTTACATAATAATAAAGAAAATGAATTTATAGATAACATGTAATCCCCATTAAGCTATGGCGAATACACCGGGACTGTTCCCACTGCTGCAACTCCTGTGTAGCCAGGATCTACAGCTTGACCGCCAATAAAAATCCAACCAATCCCGTTAAGTTTGTCCCATGAGAAAAGTAAAATCAAATACATGGCAACTTAAATACTTTACTATGTTCGTCAAAAGCCAGTATTTGTACGAACTCCAAAATGCCCAAATGCCCACTCTTTGCAGGGAGACTTCTATAAATTAAAAATGTCAGATTCTAGAGTATATTCCTTACCTCATACAAACTCGCTCTGAACGACTCCTCAGCTGTCAACAGAGATTCATCAAAGTACCCCATCTCCAGATACACAGAGGCCATTGAAGTGAGCACTATGTCCTTGTCCTTAGAGTCCACAATGCGACTCGCGGTCATGAGGCAGTGTAGGGCGTTAGCGTTGTTGCCTCTGACGCGCCAGTAGAGTGACGTCAGTGTATATAGAAGCCATCTTGGCGCTAGATTCTGCAATGAAAAAACATACAGGGTGATTAATTGGTTAATCAAATTTAAAGATTGATTCTACTGCTCAAATGCCACTTTTAAAACCTCAGAATAACCTAGGCCTCCTCCATTACCCATTTTACAAACCGGTCAAGTTAACTGCGCACCTAAAGCCCGGTCTGTGAGCACGTAGAATTTTGTCCAATGACCCCAAACTACCCATCCTTATCGCTCACGCGTAATTATATTGCTGTCGCGCTCGTACACTCACTGCGGGCGAACAAAATTCTACGTACTCGCAGACCAGACTATAGCTGTTGTGACGATACATCGACTCTCTGTTACGGACGGGGCGAACGCGGGGAGATGGGCGGGTGAGTGCGAGGAAGAGTCGCATTCCAGCCAGTTAACTTGACCGGGGTGTATTACGGGACTATTCCCACCTCTCTTTCCCACCACTGCAACTCCTGTGTAGCCAGGATCTACAGCTTGACCGCCAATAAATACCCAACCAGTGAAGGTCAAGTTTGTCCCGGGGGAAAGTTAAACTGCCGTAAAAACTAACCGGGTTGTATCAACAAGAGTCATTTTGTCATCCTCTACTGCTGAATGTCAGATTTACTGCTTCGACTTTCAGAGAAACCGGTTGCAAGCGTCTTGCTTCTTCTGAGCCCTATTTAACGATCAGCTTAGTATCCTAAGGGTGGATTCGATCAAACAAGAGTAAATATTAATCTCAGAATAAATCGTCAGTTATTCGACATTTTGACATATTGAAACTGTCAATGTGCCAGTTATACAGGAGTTATTCTTGGATAAAAGTTTGGTCGAATCGGGCCTAAAAAGATGAAAGTATACCAACCATTTGCATAGCCGTGTAAATGCGATGGCCGATCTCGACGTCTTGCATTTTTTTCACTGATTCCACGTCACCTTCACTCACATACTGTTGAAGTTTTTGCCTCAAGTAATCTGTGTTGACCACCATGTTTGTTATTTGCTGCCTGTAATTAAAATTGTGATCATCAAGAACTTTAATTTATGACTATGACTAAAGCCTGGTCCAACATAATTACGCGCGAGCGATAAGGATGGGTAGCTTGGGGTCATTGGACAAAATACTACGTGCTCACGGACCAGGCTTTATACGTTTTGCAACTTTGAGTAAATAACATAAGTTGCCTTATTGAATGACACTAGTGTTTTTAGGCGATACTTACTTGACAGTTCTCCTCTGTGTGAAAAACGAAGCTTCCTTATCTTGTGGACATATAGGCGGATGCCAGGGTAACTCATGCTCCTGGTTCGCTGGCACTCCTATCTGATCAGTCAGTAGTGCTTTTAACCTAAAAATGATAAAAATTTGACTACCATTAATACATATTATAGTATACATAGTATAGCAGTAGTAGTAGTACCATAGTAATGGTCATGTGGTCCAGACCATCCACCACAAACGAAATAATAGGGCGTTAACTACTACAGGTCGCGCAGCGAAAGTTGAGGCGAACATGATAATCACACTAATGTAATATTTGAAGACTTACAGAACACACACAACACTTACACTTCAAGTTCAAATACATATTGAATAAATTAGCTACCTCGCTCTTGCTAAGTGTGCAAGCGAGACATAAAGCACTTGTCAGTTAGACTACTTGTGTTGTTCGCCTCAACTTGTGCCTCAACTCTCGCTACGCGACCTATACTTGAGACAGTTGTTACTCACCTAATTCCTTTATTTTCAAATGGCAAGAAAACGGGATAAATAGCCTCCACATGCGGTGGGAAACTAGGAGCATTTTCCTTGCAGAATCTGTTAGAAGGCCAGTCTTTTTCTCTATCAAAGTCTTCTACATTGCGATTCACTTTCATTGTTGTTGGGTACCTAGAAACATGAATTAAATTTTATACACAAGTAGTAGGAGAACCTATGACTGAATTTCACACAATTTGATTTACTGCCTGAGTTACTACATTGTCAAGAAGAATGTCTTTAGCGCAGTCAATTTGGGTGTACACAATTCGCGCATATACTAGGGGCGCTAAACACTTAGGTTAAGAACTCATGGCGCGATTTTCACCCGTGCCCGATCGGCGGGCGACTATTTTGTACCAGTGACTTAGCGCGCCGTGAGTTCTTAGAATAATCGCGCAAATAACCGCTCCCGTTAGTTTTGAAATAAAACCACAATTCCACAACAGCCGCGAGCGCGGGTGAAAATCGCGCCGTGAGTTCTTAGCCTTAAGGAATTCTCTCACTAGAAAAAGAAAAATCAAAAGAGGAGAAGAAAGAGGTAAACTTACAACACATGTCCATCATAATAGTTAACCATATGTTCATTAGTCGAACTTGCTGACTTTGTCTCTAAATCTGGCGCAGAAGTGGCGTATATTGGTTTTTCATCTGGAGGCTCGTACATAGGGACTGGAAAACATAAAAAAATTATGTTAGTTTTCCAAAAATATCGGTTTGGAAAAGTGAAACATGTTTTATTAGTTTGATTCTTACTTTGAATATCAGGCAGCATATCTGAAAACACAGGCATGGGTCCAATCTCCTTGGCGATTGGTCCATCTATTTGCCAATCTTTACTAATATCTGGAGGCACATAGTTTTGTGCCAAGTGAGCATGTTTCTCCACATGTTTCACAAGTCTGTTGAGGCTCAACGCTGAATCGAGAGCATAAACGCCTTTGCGTTCTAATTTTTCACCGAGTGACACTGGACCGTCCAGAAAATATTGGATCACAGAGTTTTTGTCACCCTCCCTTTTTATATCCTTTATGTCAAGACCGGTCAATGCAGACATTTTATCACAATTCTCGTCCAATTTTGTGTAATCTGTAAAGTTTCATACCAATATTAATACTGAATTCATCATTGTTTTAAGGTGAATCACTAACTACATTAAAAAATCATGAAATGATATGATAAAATTCAATCATAGATGAAAATGTATCAAAGATTATCAAAAGATAAAAGTTGATATTCAAAATCAAAAAATAAATAAAACAACAAAAAGTTGTTCAAAATTACATGAATCAAGAATTACCAAAATCCTTTACATCTTTCATTGTCCTCAAAAATGCTGCCTGAGATTTAAGCCAATAAGCTTCTCTGCTTTGGAATGCAATCAATTCTTCACGTAAGGTGTCAACCAAGCTAAAAAAAATACATTTGGGTAAAACCAGGCCTGTTCATCTCCGCGAGTTTACATCGACAACAAAACACGCACGATGGCCCACCTACAGGATACTATTCGACAAGGCCTCACATACGAGCGAACATTGACTCACGCACGCGTATTCTTGTGTATGATGTAAGAAAATAAAGAAAATGGTGTACTAAATACTGTACAGTATTTAACTGCCTGAATAATAATAAAAAACACAGAATGTACTTTTTTAAGTTGCCTCAAAACACTGAGAGGTAAATAAGTAGTTAATATTATTCATAATAATTCATGCTAAATCATGTATTTCCTCCGCCATTTTCCGCAGTTTGGCACCTCACGTCACATCATTTTACCGAAGTCAGCCATATAGCTTCGGCGCAGTGCCGATCATTGACGTTTGTCAACAAAATGGTGCTCGACTCTTGAGACAGGCTAAATTACACCATATTGTTAATGACATTGAGCATACATTTTTTTAAATACCTTCGCGAAGTAAAACTTCTGTAGTACTTATTATTATTCTGTGGTAAAACACAATTTTTAACCTTTTTTTTATATCAGTTTCTTATCAAGCTCCAACACAAAATAGTTCCAATTAGTTAAGATTGTGTAATCTAACAAACAGATATTATTTTGACATTTAAAACATGAACTTTAACAGTACTTACTCTTTAACAAGTGCCATTCTCTGTCCCAATGCAATATGGCATAGCATACCATATCTGTAGTTTATGCCTAGATCAAAATCGGGGTTGATCTTTAAAGATTCATCTAAATGCTTCAACGAATTATTATATTCCCCTAGGACCGCATATGCTGTGGCAAGAATAAAGTGGCTCGTGTGATATTCGGGATCATGGTCCACAGCAGCCCCGAGAACTACAATTGCATCTGATGTCTTCTTGCTGCGATGCAAAATTGAACCAAGGCTCAAAAGAGCGACATCTTTGTATTTCCTGTAATAATATCACTATGTTACACACAAACAAAAATGCATGAGCAAGAAAATATTTTCGCCCAAGCAGCTTTAGCGTTCACTGTTCTTGTAAAAATACTTACCTAGGCGCATAATGCACTGCGCGACGACTGCATTCCATGGCTTTCGGTGCGTTGCCTCTAACTCGCCAATATAATGAGGCCATATTGTAGTGCAGCCATGAAGAACTGTTTTTCTTTAAACATACAGCTGCCCAGTGCCCAAACTGGTCCACTGTCATGATAGGAGATATCAACTCCGGGAGAGCTAACTCTGGATTTGCAGTCAAGTTTTCTCTTTGTATCATACCCTAAAATAAGTAATTTACCAATGTAGATGTTGATCAGAAACAAGGAAATAATAATTAAATATTTTCTTGCAGTATCTGCCCCTACAATCCAGAAAATAAAAAATCAAAAACTAGTATAAAAATTTTGATAAATAATAAAATACAAACCTGTAAATGCTCAAATGCATGCATACTAAAGGTCAATGAAGAAATTTTTTTACAGTCCGGTACTTCTGTATCATGACCATTCGATGGTTTGTACAGCATATACTCCTCATCGGGAATTTTCTTTGATTTACCATCCTCCAAGAATGAAGCGTACCAATCTAAAAAGGTAAGCTGCCCTGCTTGGATACAGTTTTCATTGTACGTAGAAATGTCAGATACATCAGACTGCAGTTTTATATCAGTCCACAATTTATTAATAAACTCTTGCCTTTTCGACAAATCATCATACAGATTAAAGATGTTGTCCCATCTTGTGTCTTGATTCAAAAATGCAAGCAAGTCATATGGGTGGGTCATTTCAAATGGAGAATCTTCCTGGAAATAGAAGTTAATTAGTATAACAGTAAGACAAATAGTGGAAATGTTTAATAAAACAATAGCAAGGTCTCTCTACACTTGTATTTGTTTAGATACTGATGTAACATTTTTCTAAGAACTTCTAAATGCTAAATGAAAGAGCCTTCATGAGCGGTAAATACCACGTTAACTTGGACAGTATGTTAGTCGCGGCACCGATAACTTCAACAGTTATCGAGAAACCGCAGAAGGTCGTAATTTCCGTGGTGATTTTGATAGAATTACAACTATGTTGTAAGAAACAGAGTTCTGCATCTCGTTGCATCACCAACCCTATTGCTATTTAGTCTAGCGACTAAGATGATTCGTTGCCATTTAAATGGGGAGTTAATAAACGGAAATTGTTATCATACCCGTGGTTGTATCAGGCCACTCTCGGTCACCATCCAGTGGGTTGTAGCCTGGATATTCATTGTACACGAACTAAACAACCACAAAAACACCATGACCTTCATTTTTATTGTGCCGCGAAACATTTTTGATAGCCAAAACTATGCCATTTATTTAGAAAGAAAATCTTTTTCGTATTTTCATATTTTTCGCTGCTGCGAAGAAACAAGCAAATTTTCTGACTGACAGCTGCTGTCACTTATCTGTCAAACTGTGACGCTGCGCCGGTTCTTTTCATGTAATCTATCCGCAGACATAGTACTGTAGAATTTATTAACAGATGTCTTGGCCAGCTAATGTAAAAAAATCAAAAAGAGGAAGTGAGTGGTGTGGAATGGCGCCAAATATTGAATTTTAATGTTCAGGGAAAGCATTTTCCTCCGTTTTATATTAATAATTTAGGCAAAAGTTTACGCAAGAAATAAAACTTTACCAATAGTTATTTAATTTTTAGCGTTAAGAGTTGCATCTCAAAGTAATTTGTAAATTATAAATAACTTGAAAAAATCTAATTGCCTAAGGCGGGAATTGACAAACACGATAATTTTTTCAAGTTATTTATAATTTTCAAACATCAAATCCTCAAAATTATCATTCTGAATTATCACATTGAGAAATAAATTTGATTACACGTACTTAGTGCATTAATAAAAGTTATAAAAATACTATTTTGTCATTCTTTTGTTTCTTTTAGCGAAAAGAGTTTAGCTAAATCTAAAATATTGTAGATCCATACCATTTATTGTAGTTATGTGGATAGCTAGCTACGTAACGATTGCATCTATGAACAACGCAATATCCACAGCAGAGGGGTGCTCCGAGTTACCCCTCGCGTAGCGCTCAATGCGCAAGTCCAAATAACCTCATTCAATCCACGCCTTAGGTCATCCACACGATTTGCCATTGTGCTCTTATTATTACAAAACCACCCGTGTAAGTAAAGCACAAAGGAATTTTACATCAAAGACGTCCCCGAAAGTACCATCTTACGCTAAGTGATCAATGCTAACGATACCTCATGGACGCGTGCCCAATCTGGTCAATGTTACGTCGATCTGTCCTGGAGTACAGATGAAGGCAAACTATTTGAGGAATATGTGATTTTCGAAAGTGCACAGCAAGAGGAAAATGGTAAATGACGCACAAGTACAGTCGCCACCAAATTTGGTTGTGCGTGAAGAGGACGAACGCACAAACGATGCGTGCAATGTAAATAGACCCGCGGCAAGATTGGAGTTTCAGGTGATTATAACCGTCATTTGTTTTAGTGCACCGTTCGATATTCTAAATTTAACTCGTTTTTGTTTCGTTTTAGGGAATTCTGTGGACATGCGGTCTGAGGGAAATCTGTTTAGCTGCTCTTTGGCTTCCATTAGGTGCTTTAATATTTTGTTACGTGACAGCTTCTATATTTCAAGCAGATGACATACACGAAACGCATTGTAGGGTAAGTACCTAGATGCATTATGTCTCTTTTTTATCTCTTCTCTTCTCTACAATATCCCAGTTATAATTAAATTGGTTTTTATATGGATTTTTTTAAAATAAACTAAAAATGTAATGATTCGATAAAACTGTACCCCTTGAATCACTTAACTTTTCACTAAGTAATTAAAAAGCTTAATTTATACCAGTCGAAATTGACGCGGTTACCTAAAGAGGATTACAAACTTACACAAACTTAGTTATTTTTATTATTTTCATAGACATATTGTTGTTACCTCCAGGTTTACAATGTAGTACCTTCAATAAGTGCGATTACGGGCATCAGCCCGCAAAGATACGTGTGGAGGATATGCGTCGCGTTCCACCTCGGACCAAGATTGTTGATAGGATCCCTGTACTACAACTACCACAAAGAACGCACTGCGTATATCGTCGACGAAAAGGTTAGTCTATTTTCCCTCCTATTCTTGGAATTTTCGTGTTTATTGGCGTTTTAGCTGTAGACGTTGGTACAGGACATTTTTACGGCAGGAACGACAGTTGAAAACAGTCCAGTTACAAGTACTCGCAATGACTTACACTTTTAAAAAAATACTAAAATTGGCGGGTGAAACTATGATCATATTTTCATTATACTGAAATAATTATGCAGTTGACTGTATCAAAACGCCGTAGACGATGTAGTCAGACTACGAATTTCGTAGCTATACGCTGTAGTCACTGTAACGAGTAATGCACTACTACAACTTTAAGGCTGGGTTGTATCTTACTTTAACTTTAATAACGTCAAAAACCTGTCAAACTCCATACAAAAAGCACCGTTTATCGTTATTATACTTACAGTCAAAGTTAAGTGCAACTCAACCTTAAGCTTCCAATTTATTTCTAATAGATTTCGAACCGGTTGCCAATTCCTGATTTTTTTTTCAAGCATTGAAGTTTCTCTACTTTAGATGGTTTTGTGTTAATGAAATTGGCACTGTGACAGGAACGTGTAATGGACACTGCAGGTAGAGTTCTGCACTGTCGTTATGCAACATATTTATAGTGCCAACATCATCTTCTCTTCAATATAAAGCCAACGACTTTTACGAGAAGAAGAAATGTTTATTTGTTTCACCTGTAGGCCTAGGATGTGCGCCGCGATAAACTTTTATTATGTCATTTTATCGATTTTACCTGATAAGCTCATATATTTGTCGTCTAAAATCGTCGATAAGATTTTATCACGGCGCGCATCCTAACCCTGCTGAAGTCTGTTTCGTAAAAACTTTCGTAGCACTTGTCTGTTGCTGTTTCGTAGCTGAAACATTCGTAACACTGTCTAGTAGTCAAGAACTAGTAATGTGCACGAAAACTGAAGAAACTTAAACTTTTCGTTTCAGACTCGAGAATTAGCGGTAAAGCTGGGCGAAGCGTGCTACTGGCTCAATTTTATAGAGTTGTTTGCGCTCACCGGAGTGACGTACGTTTCCAATAGGGAAAACTATTGTGAGTATTTCTTTAGCTATTACATATTAGAAAATGGCCTGTCTTGTGATAAAAAATATGTAAATGTAAACGAAACAATCAGTAAGTGCAGTTTGTTAAAAACCGCGGACAATTAAAAGTTTCAAGTTTTTTGTATTAGGTACTAAACATTCTTCTTTGTCTGTTTGAACTGAGTATTATGTAGTTGAACCAAGCTCAACGAGTGCTCTTTCCTTCAAAAGGTCTCGGTAATTGAAATATAGTTTGATGACAAAGCTGAATGCTCATAATATGCTGTAAGTAGGTACGTGTAAGTGATACGTTGCTTTGTATTTTCTGTTAAAGCAATGAAAGGTTACTTGCTTTGCCACAAGCGGCGGTATCAATATGATTACATAGGTAACATTTAAAGTACAATATTTCGTAATGCATTGATGTTCTCACATACTTTATGTCATAAGAGTTCAATTTTCCTTTTCCAGTCATTCACGAGAAGATCTTCATAGTGTTCATGATAGTGGCGCTCCTTCACATGCTATGCCGAGCCCGCGTCGGCTGCATCGGCAGCGACGTGGTGGAGCCAGTTCGGACTAACAAGTTCGTCTGGACTCTGTTCTACGTGGCCATCGCTGCCACTGTGGGCCTGATCATATTCTTCCTTCGACACCGGCTGCTTTGCCGCCCTTTAGGTAACGTATTATGCCTGCACTATACATTGGTAGATTTGGCAGCGATGTGTTGGAGCCAGATGACTAACAAGTTCGTCTGGACGCTGTTCTACGTGGCCATTGCATTGCTGCCACTGTGGGCCTGATCATATTCTTCTTGCGACACCGGCTGCTTTGCCGCCCTTTAGGTAACGTTATTATGCATTCATTATTTGTAGATTTAGCGGTGACGTGGTGGAGCCAGTTCGGACTAACAAGTTCGTCTGGACCCTGTTCTACGTTGCCATTGTTGCTATTGTGGGGCCGGTTTGGACTCATAAAAATCCTCCTGTGACATCAGCGCCTTTGCCGCCCTTTATGTAACATACATGTAGATGATGATCAAACCAGCATTGTAGTGAAGCCAGCATGAATGAAGAAATTTGCCTGGACTAATAGATAATAGGTTCCTTCTACGATAGACTCAAATAATGCTACGACTTTAACAGAACATGACTGTTTTTTCTTAACTAAACTGCAGTTTGTGCGCTCTCTATATTATTTTGGATTCCCAGTTCCAGGCTCCAATATTCCCCAAAAAACCTCACTCAATATACCTTTATACCTATTCCAGCGTTCACCTGGTTCTCCGTTTGCGAGTACATCCTAGCGACCGCCAACATGGCGTTCCACGCGCTCATCGTGCGCGACCTGCCGCTGCATCAGCTGCAGGTGTCGTGCCCCACGCACAGTAAGGACAACTAGGCGGCAATATGGCTGCTACGGTCGTTGTGCAATGGTCAGTTATTTTCGAATTTCGAATCACATTGTTCGATTATTACCTATTTCTTTTGTTTTTTTCGCAATGGTCAGGAATTTCAACGAAATTATAATGTTCGATTATTTCTTTTGTTTCTTCTTTTTTATTCAAATCAGATAGCCAGCCAGTATCGATGTGTTGTTTGAGTGCCACTATTGAGAGACCCTTCAAATCGAATTAATCAATCAAGTTAATTTGAACCTCTTTGCGCTAAACCAATAGTAAGAGAGTGGAGTTCTGAGAATACGGGACTTGGAAACTTGAGAAACATCCTATATACCTACTTAAGTGAAAGGCCACCTTTCGCCAGTTTTATTAATAAATCCAGCGTTTTATAAATCAAAAAATATTTGACCATTGCACAACCAGATTTACATTGTTTTCCTAATATTTGCCAAAATTGTAAACTATTTACAATCATCAAAAAGTGCTTCGAAATGGGGTTTACACTATTGGCAAAGATAAGACAATCTGTTTAACTGTCTTTTTGCAACTAGGACGTTTTTAGAGCTATTTTGATTGTTACTGTGAAAGGGAGCGAAACATTACAAATGTCTTCCTATAACTTTGTCAAATTCAATTATGATTGATATTTCCATTAAATTAACGTGCTTAATTTAAGTTAACATTTTTTTCTACGTAAAAAATCGATTGCCTTACGTGGGAATTGAATCCGCGGCCAATTTCTTGCCGGGTGACTTTTTTAACCATTGAGTTAAGAGCGTTTACGCCGTTTGGCGCAAAAACAGTACATTTTCAACTCGTTACAATCATTAACCAGTAATACTACAAATATGTTATAGGCATAAATAG